GCAACAATGGGGACAAACGCTAAGAAAAACAACATGAAAGGTTGCTTCTGCGAATTCTTACGGAAATCCAAGTGGATCAAAATAGCAAAAGCTCCCTCCCCAACTCTTTGCATTCTGACTCCTGTGAGAAGCATCGATCCAGCTCACATTTGAAAGCCACCCCAGGACAACTGTTCCTCATCTGCTTTTTTCTAATAATTCATAGCTGATTCTGAAAGAAGTTTGAAATTAATCAGTGGGACAGCTTGCCTCCAGGGGTTGTGGGATCTCTAGCGCTGGAGATTTTCGAGAAAAGATCGGACAACCATTTGATCAGGATGATGTAAGGTCTCCTGCCTTGGACGGGGTTGGACTAGAAGATCTCCAAGGTCCCTTTCAGCCCTTGTAGTCTGTGATTCTGTGAAATGGGGCCTTAGGAAGAGGGCTTCCAAAACGTTCAGGGCTTTGATTTAGATAGAAGAAGCTGTCTCGTGAGGTGTGTCAGGCTTAAAAGCAAGAATGACATGTGGTGAAGTGTTAATACCATTTTATAATGCTTCGGTAAAACCAAGAATACTGCATCCAGTGGTCATCACGATGTAAAAAAGATGTTGAGACTCTGGAAAGAGCGCAGAGAAGAGCACCAAAGATAATTAGGAGGTTGGAAGCTAAAACATACAAAGAACAATTGGAGGAATTGGGTATGTCTAGTTTAATTTTAAAAAGGACTAGGACTGACATGATAGCAATGTACCAATATTTAAGGTGTTGCCACAAAAAAGCTATTCTCCAAAGCACCTGAAAGCAGGACAAGAAGCAATGAATGGAAACTAATCAAGGAGAGAACCTTGAGGGAATCTAGGAGAAATTTCTTTACATTTAGAACAATTAATCAGTGGAACGACTGGCCTCCAGAAGTTGTTGTTGTTCCAACACTGGAATTGTTAAAGAAGAGACAGCTATTTGTCTGAAATGATATAGGGTTTCCTGCCTGAGTAGGGGGTTGGACTAGAAGACCTCCAAGGTCCTTCCAATTCTGTTCTTCTGTTCTGTTAATTCTTTCAAGCTGAGCCCTTTCTTGTTTCACACCTATAGACAAAATTTGCATCAACAATATACCCTGGGAACCATTAGGAAGGAGCTGTCTTCATCCTCTTTCTCTCACATGATCTCTGGGCTGAGTTGCCTCTTACTGCTCTGGTTTTCGCCTCTTCACTCGATTCCATCACAAGATGTGATTTAATCAAACAACTCAGTCTTTACTCCTCATCCTGGTAAACATCTAAGCCAACTTCTTCAAATGGGTGTCCCTCAGATATGTTGGGGCAGCAAAATCATCATGCTTAGAAGTATGTTGACTTGGAATGTATACAAAGGGTCTTCAGCTGAATTAAGAACTGAAAGATTGCATTCCTCTCTTCACTTGAGGTTTTCCATCATGCTATACCTTTATGGGCTGTACCGGGCAAAAAGGAATGATGATAATTTGTTTCACTCAGGGTCATCAAACAGAAGAAAGCCAGAACTTTCGGGTGATGGGTCTAAAAGGGCAGTTAATTGTCTTTTTTTAACTTTTCTTGCAAAATAGTTGCTTCATGGTGCTTAAGGCTGCTGGAACACCCTCACTGGAATGAAATGTAAGAAATTATGCCATAGATAGCCAGTTGACAAGTTGGCTAGTGAGTGGCAATGATGAACAACTATGTTTGAAGGAGTGCTTAGGAAAGAACAGCAGAATTCAGTCTTAAACATGGTTAAGCTATGCCAGATAATGTCACTTCATATTTTTTGCAGTAATCTATGCAGAGGGTGGACAACTTTGAAAATGTTCCTTTTTGTGGCAGCTACTATTTAATTGCACATTAGACCTAAGTAGCTAGAAAACTTGGTTGCCATAGTAACCTTTTTATTGCAGATTTATTGCAGACAATCTGTTCTGAATAACAATCAACCAAAGAGAACTTTCTTTTCTTGACCCAAAGACCTGCCTTTCATCGCTTGTTCCTAGACTGTCTTTATAACTTCCTCCATCATCATGTAGTCATGCAACTATGTGTGCAAATGTGTGTGTATGTTTAAAGAAAACAGTGTATTTGATAGCTTTATCTTTCCAGGTTAAAGTAAATAATTGCTCTTTTGTTTCTCCAGCAGTGATTACTTTATTCCCTAATTCATTAGGTCTGATTTCAGGTTTCACATAATATTTAATAATGCAATCTACATTTAAAAAATTAATTGGGTAATGAAAAGCACATCTGCAATTCATATAAGCCATTGTTTTAATTGAGTGCTAAGTGAAAAAATCCATTATTACAATCAAAGAATTCAAAAATCCATTATTACAATCAGAGAGTTTAACTGTTCACTCCTACCACCAAATAAAAAAAGATATTTTCTCTTTGCTAGATATGTTTAATCTCTCCTTCTAAACTTGTAGTGCTAAGCAGTTGGAATGAGATTATCTTGACAAAACCTTCACGTCCCTCCAGACTGGCTAAGGGAGTTGAGATGCAAGAGCAGAGAAACTGCCTCTCCGTATCAAACTCTTTTCTTTGTGACCTTTTAAGCAAGGTTGCTCCAAGTTGCACTTTTGGTGTGCAAAGTATAGGTAGTCCTTGACTTACGACCACAATTGAGCCCAGAATTTATGTTGCAAAGTAAGACATTTGTTAAGTGAGTTTTGCCCCATTTTACAACATCTTTAAAGTGAATCACTGCAGTAGTTAAATTGGTAACAGTTGTTAAATGAATCTGACTTCCCCATTGACTTTAGTAGTCAGAAGATCGCAAAATATGAACACGTGACACTGCAACCGTCATAAATATGAACCAATTGCCAAGCATCTGGATTTTGATCATATGTCTACAGGAATGCTGCAATGGCCATAAGTGTAAAGAATGGTCATAAGTCACTTTTTTCAGTACTGTTGAAACTTCAAACAATCCCTAAGTGAACTGTTATAAGTTGAGGACTACTTGTATGTGTTTCTTTACTGAGCAGTGGACATTTTTGATCATCGCCTGAAACACTCTCAAAAATGTTCAGCATTTTACTCATTCACTCACCAAAATTCATCTTTTTCTTTATTATCAAACTTGCAAAAGAGCTGCTGACAAAGAATACAGGGACTTCTTGACTTATGTCCATTCCGTGTTCAGTTATGGTGGCACTGAAAATGTAACCTCTTATTGGTCCTCTCACTTACAACAGTTGCAACATCCCTTAAAATCTGGGCCCTTGGTAAGGGGATTGTGTTTATGTTGGTTGCAGCATCCCAGGGTCCTGTGGTCGCCATTTTCAAATTTTCCATCTGGCTTCCGGCAAGCAAAGTTAATGGGGGAGCTGGATTCACTTATCTACTCTGTGATTCATTTAATGACCGTGGCTAAAAGGGTTATCAAATTAGAAGCAGTTCAATTAATGATGGCATTGCTTAGTGACAGAAGTTTGAGTTTTAAGTTTACATTTTTTTAAAATGACCCTGTTGATCCATTACAAAAAGGATTTTGAGTCACTTGTTTTAATACAGCCCAGATTTGGGGAAAGAGTATGCAAATCACACACAAAAAAGGAAAGAATGCAGATTATTTTTTCCAACTCTCTGTAGAACAGAATCTGTAACACACACAAAAGACATACTGAGCAAATTTTAGTGCAGACCAGGTCTGTTCAGATGTGTGCATCTATGTTTATAATTCAACTCATCTGGAGGGCCAACATGTTTTGCATTTGTGTTGTTTAAGGGTGTGTGTGTATCCTGCTTTATTTTAATTATTGTTTAGTCTGAGCTGTCTGCCTTCTGTCTTGTTTATGTTTTTAATTGCTTTAATTTAGTATTGATATCATTAGTATGACCATAATAATATCATTAGGATTAGTTTATATTTTGTTCTTTATTTAGTGTATGGCATATCATACAAGGACTAGCAATATATATTCACATTTCAACTAGATGTTTGTGGAAATTCTCAGTCATTCAGGACATGATTGTCTCAAAGGTGCTTTTTTCTTCAAAAGGCAACTGGGCTGTTGTTTTTTTCCCTTTTTTTTCCTTGAGGAAGAAAGAGAAAAACTTCCTCAAGGAAAAAACAGTCCAGTTGCCTTTTAGAGAAAAAAACACCTTTGAGATTTCACCTAGATTAATAACATACAATAGAATATAAATGTTACAAAGATCTATGTTCAAATACCAATATTCTAGGCCATCTAACCACTTAACAAAATTATGTTTTGTAAACTGGCCAGAGTCCACTAAGATGGGTGGCTATATTGAATCTAGAGGTTGAGGATAGTTTTTATTCCAAATCAGTAGCAGATGAAAAGAGGGCAGGAATCAGTCCTTAAATTTGGGGAAGGGGAGATGCAGATCGTGCCCACACAGAGGAAAAATATTGAAGATCTCACATGAAAAAGACCATCTTATAATCTAGACCAAGGGTACCCAACCTTGGCATCTCTAAGACTCATGGACCAACTCACAGAATTGGCTGGGGAGTTGAAGTTCACAGGTCTTAAAGAATAGATTTTTAAGAAGATCCTTGTTGTCAGCTGCCACCTTATGCTTCCTTGTGTTTTGCTACCATGCATTGACAATCTGCCATGAACACTGGGGGAGGGTGGATGGGAGAAAGTGAAAGTAACCACTGAATTTCCCCAAGATGCTGCCTCAAGGTCACCCAGCTGGGAGAAGAAGCCGGCTGCATACCAGCCTACACTTGTACTGACTGTTCTGAAAATGTCTTGCTTGAACCTGATTGATCAGCGATGGGAGAAAGTTAAGGGAGCGAAATGTTGAACTTGGGGATTTTGGCACGTGATTCTCAGTTCTGGCTATGCATTATTGCAACACACTTGACTTCTAATAAAACTATATCTTTCTCAACAAATGGAACCAAGGATAGTTTCTAATTAGGAGTTTAAGTTGTAGCAGGTGTGACATTTGTCTTTTATTGCTTCACATATAGTTATGACTTCTTTCTCAAGAAAGCTGATCTAGCTGTATTGATTTCTTCCTCTTCAGAGAAACCTCACATTTATGAAAAGGAGATTGATTTTTCCAATACTGAGCTGGTCACTAAAGGAAGAGAACACAGCCTTCAATGCACAGCAAGTGGATGGCCTCTTCCCTCCATACACTGGGAATGGGAGCCCTGCAACCATGCAGACAACCAGTAAGTAGTCAGATATATATTGTATGTTTATCTTCCCTATGGTGGAATATCCAGCAAAAGTCACAATAGTGTCATATGCATCATGGCATGATTGCACAAATAGAGTGAATTGCATGGATTGAATCAATGTGGGATGATGTTACTTGCTCTTTAGAGTTGCTTATATCCTCTCTTATTCCAAAATAGTGTTTATGGGCTTCTCAAGGTTTAGAAAACCATATAAGAAATGCTACTTACTATGTAATGGAGAGAATCTTGAGATTTTACAGAAGTGGGTCAGGCATTCTTGACAATCAAAGACTTTAGGCTTTGGAATATGAAGCACATTATAATCCTTCCTCCCCAAGAAAAAAGACCAAAATCCACCAGCAATCAACACCCATATGAGCAGAAATTAACACCAAGATCAGCACTAGAGCAACAGTCAAGAAGTAAATAATACCCCAATCAAGGAACTACCAGACAAGCAAGCTAACAGTAAATAACAGCCTAATCAAGGAACACTTCCACCAACACTGACAGAGCAAGCCATTAGTATATCAAAATAAGAGCAAACCCTACTCCCTTCAAGCATTTTTAATGTTGCCTAGTTTGGTAAGGAAATGACTCCAAAAAACTCCCCACCAAGCTCATAAAGCACCAGGAACCCTGCAATTCTCCTCCTCCTCCTCCAATTCCAACTCCAACTCCAATTCCTCCTCCATTCTTCCTCCTCCATTCTCATCTACTACTGATGATGCTACTTAGTTAGGTCATGAAATGTCTGCAAGAAAACGACCAAGCTCAGAGAACAACAAGAGTCCCACAGTTCAGTCCTGAGCTACAAATTTTCTCTTCTATCAGCTTTAGGCTTTCAGATAGAATAGTATTCCTTCAGCTCTTAAGCTATGGAAGAAGTTATAAAAGACAAAGTGTGAGTCAAAATAATAAGAACAATCCTTCATTACACCAGAGAGCCATCTAGGCTGACATTTGTCTTCTGTTGCAGAAATTTATCCATCAGCACAACATAAAAAAACATTCCATAACTATGGGTTGTTCCCAGAATTTGATCAAACATGAAGGTTTCATTTAGTTATGAAAATAATGAAGCATGTTTCCTGTATGGATTTGACTTCATTTTTTCAAACTTCTGGAACTGATGAATATTGTAAGCAAATTCTTCACTGGCCATGTTGAAAATGTCCATAAAGACAGGATAGGTTGCATTTACTGAATTGAGGGGAAGTAATTCAGCAACAAAAGGACATTATCAGGTGACTGCAAAGCCCCACCCCCTCAACAGAACCTGCCCTTGAACTTTTGGGCTTTACCCATTAAATGACAGAAGTTCACAATGCCCTAGTCTCACATCAGCTGGCCAAAATCCGAGAACTACAGCCAGATTTGAATGAGGCATTACCCCAGCTAATCTGCCTGCAAGGAGTTAAACTTCTTCCACATAAACAACTACCAAAAAACATTGACAGCTCAGTCGGAAGTCTGGAGGTTCTTTAAAGATTCCAATTGAAACAGCTGCTTCAAAGGAAATAAACAGGCCCCGGCTGGAAGTATCTCATGGAGTCCTCAGCTGGTTCAGAGACCAAGTTGGCTTTGTCCACTCTGAGTTGAGAAGCAAAGAACAAGGTCCAAACAGCAAACAGCGAGTGGTGTTTTGAGAACAGATATGGTCTCTGAGTTGTTAAATCCTGCTTGATGGAGCTGAAATGAGAATTTTAGTGCAGCAAGTTCGTGTGTTGGACTTGGATTAGGGGGACCAAAGTATGAACTCCTCATTCAGACAGGAAGGAGGCAACTAGGAAGCTTTAGTGACAGTTACTTTCTCTTTTGGCCAGTGGAATCCAGCGTGATCAGCATAAAGCCAAAATGGTGGTTGCAATCACATGATTGGAACCCCATCACTTTTTATTATGCATCTTGACTTTTTTTGATCTTGTCCACTCTTAGACATCTATGACCCAGAGGATTATGGGCAAAAAATTAGAGAGGAGCCTAATATGACCTTAATATGTCCTTTCTTCTCCCTCAATCCAATGACAGTGCATTTCTGTTCTCTCCAAACATGCTAAAAAAGATATAGGGATCTAGTTTGTTAATTGTAGTGCCATGAATAACATGTATAAATCTCTTTAATCAGCTCCTATAATGAGCTGTCTTTTGAAATGACTCCTCCGCCCACATCTGTGAGCCCAGGATAATATCCACATTTCCCCCTCCACTCTAAAAAGATATACTCCATCTATTGTGAAGCTTATAATTCTGGGATTACAAAGATTAGCAGCCTAGGCATTATTACACTATTACCCTTTGTGAGTGTGAACAAATGGATGCAGCCTGTGCTGTACGACTGGCAAGAGAAACAGATGAGAACTAGCAGAGTTTTCATAGTTTCCACTGGGGAAAGAGCAGATCACAGGATGTATTGTCTCAGAAAGGTGAATTTCGAGACTGGCAGTGGCACTACTAGTATATAGCAATCCGCAGAGTCAAGAAACACGGAGAGAACAATTCCTCCAAGATGTAGCTTCTCCGGGACCTGCAAGAATTGGGCACCATGATAAAATATAGAAGTATCTAATATGGAGGCCAACAAAGGGCTACCAATATTGACTTGGACTTAAAGTGGACAACCTCATCTTCCCCACAACACACAATTGACACAAGGGATTGGGGAATACAGACAGGATGTAGTATGGTCCTCTTCTTTAGACAACTTCTGATGAGGCAAATTCATGAAGAAGACTATCAAAGATATTCGTCATGATGGTCCTGGAAGCCTCCAGAGACAGATATAGTTTTCACTGAATACCTTTTACTTCCAGTTAGAGCAAACTATTGGCTTCAGGCCCTACTTTGGCTTTCTCAGAGGCATCTATGTAATTTCCACTGTGGGTATCATGATGCTGGATTAGAAGACATCTTAGCTATTTTCATCTTCCTATGGCTCAGGCAGGTATCTTGTCTGAGATTCTTGTAATTGAAGAAGCTGAAGCCTGACTTTCAGCATGTTCTTTCAGTGTATTCTTTGAAGAATACAGAACATACATAACTCAAGATGGAACTGTTAGGTTCTTGATGTTCTTTGGGCTTGCAAGAAATATCTGCTGGAAAATAACCAAGCTCAGAATCCAATAAGATATGTTTTCATTGCTTTTGAACATCACACTTCACAGATCTGCCCCAAAGACAATTTGGTCAAGATTCTTTATCTCTTCTGCTCTTTGTGGTAATGTTCAAAGCAGCTATCTGTCTTTAGTTTCATCCTACACTCAGCACACAAACATAAGTTGGTAGGTTCTAACAAGAGACAACCTTGTAGGAGCAGAGAAGGGGTGGCTGGTGAAGCTCAAATGTGCTAAACAGGAATTTTGTTGAGTTAAGCATGCAATCTTGCCTGTTGCTTGTAGACAAACAGGCAATTTCCTTTGTTCCTGCTGAAATATTAGCAGAGCAACCATAGGAGACCTTTGGCTCAGGCCTGAATGGAAAATACTTCTCTTGGTGAATGCCAGTTGGAGCCAAAGGTAACAATCTTCCTGCACTTTAACCCTTCTCTGCTGAAGGAAGAAATTTTGGAAGGAGTCTGGTTTTCCACACAAAACAATAAAGGACAGATGGAGGAACATTAGAGAACTAAACTATGTTCTTTAACAAGTTTTTCTTGGTGGTGGAGAGTTACTATCACAGAAATAACATCTGTAGAAAAACAACAGAATAACAACAGAGTTGGAGGTCTTCCAGGTCAACTCCCTTCTGAAACAGGAGACCCGGCCTATAGCATTCCGGACAAGACAGTGTCCACTCTCTTCTTAAAAACCTCCAGCCTTAGAGCACCCACAACTTCTGGAGGCAAGTTGTTCCACTGGTTAATTGTTCTGTCAGGAAATTTCTCCTTAGTTGCTTCCCTCCTTGGTTAGTTTCTATCCATTGCTTCTTGTCCTGCCTTTTGGTACTTTGGAAAATAGGTTGATCCCTTCTTCGTTGTGGCAGCCCCTCAAATATTGAAACATTGCTATCATGTCACCCCTAGTGCCTCTTTTCACTGTCTAACATTGCAGCTGCAGCTTCTTCAGTGTCTCAAAGACTCGCCCATTGATAGATCTTTGGATTAGTAGCGAAATAAGTTTCCCCAAAGTCCGAGAAGAGATGGGAACTCCTCTTTGAGATGATCATGTATCTCCTTCCCCTTCCTCTTTGATTTCAGTAATACAAAATATCTGATTCCCCAGAGCATTTTCACACAATGGGAAATCTCTGGACACCTCCCAGCAAAACTCCATTCTGTAAGGGTGGTGGTTTTATTTCAGCATAATTGGCAAATCCATGATCTGAAAAAAAGTTTCAACTGTAGAATGAAAATTAAGAGGTCAATGTATACTGGATGTATACTGCATTATACATAGGCTGAGAAATACATAGTATCATCACAGCTTCCTAGAACCTCTTTTTCTGAGAAATGCTCCATTTTTGCTTGACCCTGATAACATGTCTCTCTCTCGGAGAAAGTTGCCAGTGATGTCATTTTAAAATGGTATTATCATTTGCACGTGTACTTGGGCTTAGGGAGATATCTGGTCTACGTTTTAATACAAGCTGACCTGATTTGCCATTCCAAAGGCAATGGATAAAACAAATCTGAATTTTTCAGGACAGTTCCCCAATTCGAAAAGATCTTGAAAAAAGTACATTGTAGGAAGAAGAAGCACGGATCAAAAAGCTTATACTTGTGAAGATAATGTTCAAAAATTATTTTTATTCAGTCTCACTGTTTGCCAAAATTCAAAGATAGAAATAAAATGTATATCTCATATAATGATAATGATGATAATGATGAAGATGAGGATGAGGAAGTTGTTGTTGTTGATGATGATATCAATCCAGTTGTGTCCAACCCTTGGTGGTTCTATGGGCCAAGCCTCTTCAATCTTCCACTGCTTCTTTGAGTTGTTCTATGATCTGGATGTTGTCAGCTTTGATGGTGTCCAGCCATTGTGTTCTTTGTCAACCTGGTTTCCTTTTACCACTAACTCTTCCAAACATAATTGCTCTCTGCAGTGAATTTCCTCTGCATGACATGGTCAAAATAAGTGAGATCCAGTTTTGTGATTTTCCTTCCTGCAACATGTCTGATGTTATGCACTCTAATACTTGTTCATAAAATATTAACTATTATTAAGCCGTTGTGAGCTGCCCAGAATGAGATAAATGGCAAATAAGTTAAATAAATACATACGTAAAATACATTTTCATTTGTAAGCAATGGAAATGCAAAATTGCAATAAAATTGCAATTGTAGGAGAAGAGCAGGCAGAGCTGCGAGGCAAAGTTAAGCATGTCATCAGCTTAGAGTCATTGCATTGCCACAAACGGTTCAAGTCCCATCCCTTTTGGATTCCATTGACCATTATTATCTGGTGCCATTTTAATACTGTACTTTAGTTGCCTAGATTCCTCTGTACACGCTTGAGCAATAAGTCTTCTGAACTGCAACTGAATGGTCCTGTTCCTTTGCACCTGATATTAATCTCAAGTTAATTAATGCCAGGACAAAGATTAATATCAGGGCAAAGGATCAGGACCATATGTTAAGTTGCAGTTCAAAAGATTCAGACTTATCTCATGACATTTGAACTTAAAACAATTAAATAGGCCCACCAGAATACAGAAGTTTCTGAAAAGTAGATCTTATTGTTGAAAAACTAAGAAGCTATTATGAAAGAGCTCTAATCACTGCTATGTTACAAATGCAAGCTATATTTATACTATCAATATTCAAATCATTTTTAATAAAATGAAATGAAGGAAGCAAGTTTCAAGAAGAGACTGGACAGCCATTTGACTGGAATGCTATAGAGTCACCTCCTGGTTGGACTAGAAAACCTGCAAGGTCCCTTCCAACTCTGTTATTATTTTCAAGTTGACTTGTGCCTTTTTCTTCTGCCCACTCTATGTGAAATTGCCTTCTATTCCTTGTTTTAGTACAACTTAATCTACTTCTGGCTGTTTACTTGTGACTGTATGTAAAAAATAGCTTTCACAGATATGCTCATGTTCTTGCTATGTATTAGTCACTTGGTGGACTTAGTTCACGTTAATGTAAACTTTTGAAAACTCTTCAAGAATGGCTGCATTATATGCTCCTTGGGATTAGCTAGTGGTGATCTAAACCAAGAATGAATAAGTTAATGCCAGTTATGAGCAGCTATGAAGCTATGAAAATAGCCTCTTGATGTAATAATTGGTTCCCAGGCTGATAAGGATTCAGAAAACGATTATGTAAACAACCAGCTGTGAATTTCTCCATCAGCAATACTCTTTTTTGCTAAATCATAGGAAGGATTTTTTTTTAAAAAAATGTAAACTCTCCAAAAGTATTTTAGAGATTAGTTTTAAATGGGAAATAGCTCAGTTGCTGGAATTCTTGTAACTCCATTGTATTTTTCTCAACGAATACTGCTCTAAAGAGAACTGTGTGAAAATCATGAAGGAAAATAACCTTTGGTTTTAGGCAACTGCCGAAGAATCTGGTCCATGATCTGTGCTGCCATTTGGAAATCTAGGAAATACTAAGGCTCTCGCCTAAGTGTCCATGAAGATTCCCCACCATCCAGGTCATGGCTGTCTCCAAGGTGCTTTTCAAAAGGCAAATAGACTTTCTTTGGTGTTTTTTTCTTGAAAGCATCTCACTTCCCATCCAAGAAGTTCCTCAGTTCTGTCTGAATGGTGGGGATTGGAAGGATTTATAATCTTTGCAGTCATCTGGTCATTAGTACTCTGAAGTTGGTCCTTAGCTCCCTGAGCTTTGTTGAGGCCACCTGAGGATCACCTGAAATGGGTGTGGAATTCAGCAGGTTCTGACCAGTCCTGGAGAACCGGTAGCGGAAATTTTGAGTAGTTCAGAAAACTGGTAAATACCTCCTCTGACTGGCCCCACCCCCATCTATTCTCTGCCTCCCACTAAGTCCCAGCTGATCGGCTGGATCTTCTTTGGTTGCCCTGCATAGGAGAACGGAGCTGGAAAGCAGGTTAGTGGGGTGTGGAGGGAAGGGGGATTGTACAGTATCCTTCCCCTGCCACACCCACCAACCCATGCCCACCAAGCCACACCCACAGAACCGGTAGTAAAAAAAATTGAATCCCACCACTGGAAGGAATCCTTTCGAGCGAGCTTTTCAAGATGTCCCTGACCTTATAGGACTGCTAACACCTTCAGAAGTATGACCTCAAAGCCAAGGATCATGGGAGTTGCAATCCTACAGCTGGGAGATGGGAGGTTGCGGAAGGCTCCTCAAGTCTCCAGAAATCATACGGCAAGCCAGAAATGGTCAGAGTAGATACAGCCATTTGAACGTCCTTTTTCCTTTTCTTCCCCCCTAGGTGCAACCAACGTGGAGAGAAAACCAAAGTCCAGAAAACTGCCAGGCACGACACTCCCTATTTAACCAACAGGATCAAGGACATCAGAAATATGCAGCTTGTTCATGGCAATATGTTAAAGGTAAACTTAAACCATATGGGATGTGCCTAGTTCTCCTTTCTTGAATTTCCCAGGAACAAACTCCTTCCCAGGACCAAATTCTTCCCATGCCTGGAATTTTTCCGCCCTGGGATCCATGGCCTCTCTCTTCTGGCTTTTGGGGAATGCTGGATTCTGAACCATGACATCACTCATTTCCCCCTCCCGGTCCAAAAACTCTCCAAAAATGCATGACTCATTCACAGCCCTTTTGGCCTCAAGCCTGAGAATGTGCATGGAGCATTTTTGCCATGAGCTTTCTCCCAGCGAAGGGTCCTTCGGACGGCCTCTGAAGATTTAAAAGGGCAGCTCGCCTCAGAGCCTCCAATCTCCCCTCACACAGTTTTTTCAGCCATGTTTGGTATGACATATGTGGCACAGTCCCAGATAAAACTGAGACTGGATAAATACTAAATGAAATCTCTTTTTCTCTAACTTGGGAAAATGTCCTTTTTAGGGAAGGAGTGAAGGATGCAAATCTTTTCTTTCTTCTTTCCCAGCCTCCCTTTTTCTTTCTTTTTTCATTCATTCTTTATTTCCTCCCTCCCTCCCCTCCTTCCTCCCTCCCCTTCTTCCTTCCATCCATCCATCCATCCATCCATCCATCCATCCATCCATCCACCTTTTCTTTTCTTTCTTGCCCCCTCCCTTCCTTTCTTCCTTCAGAATAATATTAAGAGTTATCCTGATTAAAATAGGAATGATTTTGCATCATTTTCCATTTTTTAGCCTCTTTTTATACTTTCTTTTCTTTTTCTTCATCAGTAAAAGATAAGAGAAGGAAGAACTCATCAAAATATGCATTCCTTCTGTGTTAAGCAGAACTAAAACCAAACCACTTAACCCTTAACCCATTTCACTTAGCTCCTGGCTGATCTGATTCACTAAAAGCTAAGCAGGTCAGGCCAAGATAGTATTTTGGAGGGGAGATATGAACTATCCAATATGGAGTTGCTGAGGGTTGGTGGCAAATACATTCATTCAACCAATCACCAAAGACTTTTGCTACAAGAGAGAAGTAAAGCTTGTCAGAGAAGCTGAGAGCAAACCAGTTTGGTATTTGTTGCCAAGAAAACAACACAATTGGGTCTATTAAATCACCAGGCCTAGAGATCAACCCAAAGAAGACTTGACCTACATAGGAATTTGGGAGAATGGTAGCATCTCCCCCTGCAGGATGCAGATACAAGTTTTTAAATATTTATTATCTTTAGGGAAACTTTAAATCAATAGGAGAATGAAAAGAAAAAGAGGTAAATTTATAGAAACGAGGATAGAAGAAATATTTTGGTGGGATTTTAAGTCAAGAGATTGTTAATAGCCACCAGGAACTGGGCCAGGTAAAGTGATTTCCAGGAGTTCCTGACCTACGTACAATGGAGAAAAGGCTCGAGGAAGGTTATAACAGAATGAGAGTTGGAAGGAACCTTGGAGGTCTTCTAGTCCAATTCCCTCCTCAAGTAGGAAACCCTGTACCATTTCAGACAAATAGCTGTCCAGTCTTGTCTTAAAAATCTCCAGCGATGGAGCACCCACAACTTCTGAAAGCAAGCGATTCTTGTAGAACATCTAGAATTTCGAACAATGTACACTTGAGGTCAGGTGAAGGCCAGTTTTAGTTTAGTTTCATCTGAGAACCTTGATCTCTTCCCTGGTGGTAGAAACACCTAGCAAGGCTGTGGATGCCTTGAAGTAACAATGGAAGAGCAGGGAGGAGAATTCATAGGCAATAATGGAGAACTGGGGAAGGTAGAGTTGCCCTTTTCTAAGTCCAAGGTGGCCATGACTAAAACAAGGGAAAATGAGAAGGTGAAAGTCACAATCACACAAAAGTCACAAGATTAACAGAGAGAGAACTATAGTCATATACAATTTCTGTGACCTGTGAAGGTTAATTTTCAATTGGCAATTTCACCATTTCTGGACTTGAAAAAGAAAATACATCTTGTTACCTAAAGTGGAAAGTGAACGTTTCCTTCTCTGACCGTGATGCATATAAAAAAGTCTATGGAAGAGAAGGACCAGGGGTGGCGCGATAGCAGTCTTAGAATACTTGAAGGACTGTCCCAGGGAAGAAGGCATCAATTTGCCATCAGAAGTTGTGGGTGCTCCATCACTGGAGGTTTCAAAGAAGAGGTTGGCCAGCCATTTGTCCATAATGGGAGAGGGTCTCCTGTTGGAGCCAGCGGTTGGACTAGAAAACCTCCAAGATCCCTTCCAACTTTTCTCTTCTCTTCTCTTTGCCTCTACTCTACTCTGTTCTAAAAGGGGAGGAGCTTTAATCACACTATCACATCACAGTCTTGACACTTTTGATACACACTCAAACACACACACACACACACACACACACAAACCAGCTGGGCATTGCACTCTCCAAAATACATTTTAAGGCATTTAGCTGAGTACCCTTCAGCAGGTTTTTGGCATGATTCTAGTTTTAATACTGCTGTATTCTTTGTAAGATCATATTCAATGCACTAAAATGATCTTTAGCAATAGACCATCATTTAACTGGACCCTTTTAGATTTTCAGATTTTAACACTGTCCTGTTAGTTTTTAAAGATTTTTTAAAATCATCGTGTCCATAAACACCTTCATGGGCAGGTGTGTGTGCCAGTGTCTGCAAGATGACTGGCACAGCATCACAACTAATACCTAGTTCCTTGGCATGCAAGTATAAAAGAGGAAAAATTTCAATTGTAGAGCTGCACCCATCATCTTGCAGATTTTAACCACTGCATGAACACTGTTGATTTTATCTCTCGGTGAAGATGAATACAGCCAAGTTATCCTAGGCCTGTATTCTGAATTTCTTCCCACTAAGTCCCTTTAGGGAAGCCAGCCTTTTAATAAAGCTATAATCAAACTTGTAGCTATCTGGAGAGACCAGACGTTTCTGGTGATGTTCTACAACTTTACAAGCAATTTAGTGATGAAAGAGACAACCTAAGTTTATCATTTACAGTCCACATTCCCATCAAAAATAGATCTTTCAGCAACCAGACCAATTCTCATCATATCCTAAAAAGTACTTTTATTGGTGTTTGGTTAGCCAAATAAAATAGTAAAAATGTCAGAGCTCTGACAGCCAGTCTTGAATGGAATGTGGTATGGAGTTGGAATTAGCTCAGACTCGGACACTTTCTCATGCGCTTTGCATTCCTTCAACTGTCCCATCCTCTTGCATCGCAGAGCTGCCGGAGAGCAATTCCCAGTGTATCACTTAGCTTATGTTATGGTCTCATCGATTTCAGCTGGTAGGAATATACATACTTCAAAAGCAAAACAAAAAAACAAAACAAAAACAAAGCAAAGCAACTGCTAAATATTTCAGTTTGGGTTCCCATTATTTAAAGCATGGGGGAATAGAAGATTCTGCTGGTTGCCAATGTAGCAATAACAATCCTTGTAGCAATAGCAATAACACTTAGACTTATATACTGCTTCATGGTGCTTTACCGCCCTCTCCAACTGGTTTATAGAGTCAGCCTCTTGCCCCCAACAATCTGGGTCCTCATTTTACTGACCTCAGAAGGATAGAAGTCTGAGTCAACTTTGAGCTGGTGAGAATTGAACTGCTGGCAGTGAGCTGAATTAGCCTGCAATACTGCATTCTAACCAGTGCACCACCACAGGTCATTATGGCAGGATAAATCCGTAAATGATAATGCAACATAGTGATAATGATAATGCACATTATGCGCCTATTGGATAACTTCAATTATTTGTTCCTTTTCAGCTAGTTATTTACATTCGGGGTGGATTTCTAGCTGTTCCTGTTTGCAGATTTTCCCCTTAACACCAGTTCCACATGGGCAGTGAAAACACAAGTTTGAGCCGGTGAGGATTGAACTGCTGGCAGTCAGCAGATTGCCATCACTTCGATCCTCACTGGCTCTAACCACTGCACCACCACAGCTCTTGTAGGCCCACTTTGGATATTCAGCTAGGAGTTATCAGATCTGGAAGCAAAATCCAGATGGCTCCTAGTTGGCTGTAAGATGTTAAATCTGCCACTTTAGGAGTTAACTGGTTGGGTCAGTTGACCTCCTTTAAGAGTTCTCACAACATGCTAACCCTTCCACTAATTCAGTTTTAACATGTCATGGGAAGATAATCATACAAAAGGCAGGGCACATTGTAATGTTGACAGTGAGATCACCATCATCATCAATTTATATCCAGCCAATAATAATCATCTCATTAAAAGAGTTAAAGTTTTAGAACTAACTCAATTTTAAAAGGCTAAATCCTGAATACTTTGAATCCTTTATTAAAAGCCATATAATTTAGTGAGCTGATCATCCATCCCAACGAAGGAAAAACCCTTAGGTGACTCTTCAAATTCCCTGTTTCTTGTTCCTGGCTAGGACTCCACTTTGCAGGTATCAGATTCACCAAAACTGAGAATAAAACGATGCTAAAGAGCAGTTCAGTTCCTTGTAAATGTTATGATGTAGGTTATTCTTCCAAAAGGCTTTTAGGCATGTTGTCTTACTTCTGAGGCTGATACAGGCACCCAGGAGAATAGAGTAAGAATAATAGAATTGGAAGGGACTTTGGAGGTCTTCTAGTCCAATTCACTGCTCAAGCAAGAGACCCTGTACCTTTCAAGAAAAATGTCTGTCTAGTCTCTTCTTCAAAAAGTTGTGAGGAGCACCCACAACTTCTGGTGGCAAGCCATTCCACTGATGAATTGTTCTCACGGTCAGGAAATTTCTCCTTAGTTCTAGGTTGGATCTTTTTTTTGATAAGCTTCCATCTGTTGCTATTTGTCCTGCCTTCGGGCAACTAGATTCCCTCTTTTTTGTGACAGCCCCACAAATATTGGAAGACTGTTATAATGTCACCCCCTAATCCTTCTCTTCATTAGACTAGACATAACCAGTTCCCACCACAATTCATCGTATGCTTTAGCCTCCAGGTTCTCAGCTTCGGCTTCCAGTTGGGTCTAAACTTGGGTCTTTTTGAGCTACAGTCTCCATTGCTTTCTCACCGTTCT